CCCCAAAACCCCAAAACCCCAAAACCCCATATAGATGAATAGGTCACTAAAATATTAGAAATTAAATTAAAAATAAAAATTTATCATTAATGCAATTCTACAAGATCAATTTAGTTATGAGGATTTCCATTAATTGTCTGAACATTTTGTTGATATCCTTAAAATCTTCTGTAAATATTTATATTATTTCTTTCTTCATTCTGAATTAGATTAACATCAAATATGTCTCCTCCATTAACAAGTTATTGATTTGAGACTTACTTCTCCATTGATATACCTCCTGCTCCACCACTTCCTCCAAATGTGTACACATTATTATGATAGTAAGTATTATTTTAACCATTGTGCGAAATATTAGGATGAAAGGTGCAACCCTAAAGTTCATTTTTTTGTTTCTCATCTCTTTGCTGCTATATTTTATTCTCAGATTCAAACTTTTTTCTAAGGAGTCTCTCAGCTAAACTTAATTAGCCTTCTTATTAGTCAACGTATTAATGCTTTTCTGCTAATTTTTGTGATTTGAAATTAATCTATGGCTAAAATGTACAATTCTAAAGTTCCATGTCCTCTTATATCTTAGGAATTCGTCTAAATTATAAAATGGCATTCTTATAATTGATGTTAAGGGTCTAAAATTGATATTTAATGAATGATAAATTACAGTAAATAGCCTCATTGATGCGTCAATAAATTCATCTCTATCTAAAGTTGTACCTATTTCTTCCATTTCACATAGCAAAGGCGAGAATATTTCTAGCAAGTCTGGCTATAGTGAATGTAAATCTATTTTCTATGCAGAAATAACGCCATCTTAATCCGAATCAAACATCTCGAATATGTCATTTAGCTTTTATCTCTTTGTTTACTCGACTATTTTCTCAGATTTCTTGTTATTTTGATGGATTTATTTCCTCATCTCAGACATTTTAATCTCTTCATCTTTTTTTAGTTTAATTTATTTTTCTATCATCATTTAATGTTACTTATACAAATGATCTCCTATGTTGTTCTTCATGTCCAGGGGTCTATTCTTTGGACTACGACCAGTGACTGGTCTAAAATATGATCTGCCAGTTACTGGATCAATCTTATCTTCATTTCTAGATGATTGATTGATAATTTGCTTCTTCTCAAGTTTTTACTTTGCATCTGTAGCTAATCTCTCGTAAACTGGTGTGTTTAAAGTCTCTAAGATGCCACTTCTATTTGAAACATCTGCTGGGTTTTAAGAATCCTACTAAGCAACAAATTACTTTTCCCCATAGAGAACAGACTTTGAGAGTTTTGATTGTTAAGTCACTAGAGTTGGTTTAAAGGTGCACTCTTTGTCAATGCAAGCAGCATATATTTTATCTTATCTATCTAGTCTCTGGATTGCATCATTGTACAATGCAAAGAATTTCTAATTTTTATTTGCTCCAATTTGTGAATTATACATTGATTCATCTTAGTTTGTTACTTATCCAATATTTTGCATTTACATATCTAATGATTTGTCTGGGGAAGACATCTACATTACAGAGGATTTCTCTCGAATCATTCTGTCTGATTTTTTATTTATCCTTGGTCTGTGATTGTAAATTTCCTCTTCTTATCTTTAAATATCGATTCTCGCTCTCTCTTTTTTCTCTTGAATTTGTTATCCATATTAGATCAGCTCTATTTCTTTTTTAATTTTCCTATCTTATGTCTTTTCTCTTTATTTATTTACTAGCTCTGGTTTGAATTTTAGTTCCTAGGATAGTTTTTGGTCTTTCAATTCTTTCTCTGCCTTGACGAATCTATCTTTTTATTCTTAAATTTTCATGCCTTTTTAATATAACCTTGCTCCAATATTAAGTTCATTCGGATCTACTGGTTTTCTCAAAGGGGATCTCAACTGCCTAAGCACTTATTTTTCTTTCTCAATTTCTTCCTCCTACTGCTTCAGAAACGCTATCTTTGTTTTCTCTAATTCTTATCTGTGTAGCCTATTATGAACAGCTTATTGATTAGATTATGGTCTCTTTTACTCAGCTAGCTTTTTAGACACTTCATTTATTTAAGGTCTTTTTTACATCTAAGGATTTGTAGTATAATCTTGTTGTGGTCTTCCCCGACTTCTCTATTGAGTTGCACTATTATCAAATTTAAAGGGTGATGAGCCCATTGATTTATGATTATAAATGTCGCTATAGTTGTTATTTGTAGCTGATTTGTTAATCTTGCCAATTTAATAGATATTATTACCACCAAGCTACCCGTAAAGATGATTGGCAGTTGTATTGTTTGTCTCATCATTAATCTTTGTTGTCCCTTCAAGAGGATTGTTATTTTCATCAAAGTATTGGTATTCATCATCAATTTCATCTTTGAGTTAGTAATTATTATCATCACCATGACGGCCACCACTAAAATTTTAATGATAATCTTCCTCTAACTTCTAGTTTTTTTCTTATAATACTTGTTCAATATTGTTTTATATTTAGTTAGCTAGCAATTCAGTTAGTAAAGGGTTAAGATTATGTCTTTGTGCAAAAGATTCAGCTAAGTTCATTGGATTGTCGTCTGGGTATACTTGTATAATTTCATGATTCCCTCCACCTAGATCAATAGTAATGTCAAGTAGCTTATTTCCCTTTTATTGATTCTGCTATGATACTGGACTTTAGATATTTATTGGCTGGTAATAATTTTGATTGTTGTTATTATTAGAATGATATCTCTACTCTACAGCATTGTCATCATCAATGTCTTACTGCTCTGTTTTTCTGATATAATCAAGAACTTAATTAGCCTAATCTACAATTTAATTTACTAGTGGAAAATTTACCTTGGCTTAGTATATTTTTTGCTGAAATAATTTCATACTAATCACGTTACTGTTGTTAATTACTTCTGTGTGACTGATCTGAAAACACTTGCCTCTAACTACTAATTCCTTTACAGTCTTCTGCATTTATCTTTTAACTATGCATTTCTTTTTATGAATTAATCGCTCCTTCATTGGCTTATCTCTAGGTATTTACTCTCTATTCGACTTGATTGTTTTGTGAATATTCTTCCTAACGTCCTTCGTTTATTTCACCTTCTCCATCTATATATGTATATGAATGTTTTAATTTGCTACATTAGACATGTTAAGTTTAGTCCTAGTTACCAATAGAAGCAAGTAATTCATCTTGATTGAGCTCTATTCTATCCTAAATAATGCATACATTAGTTATATGATTTAGCTTACCATATTATAGTCTACTGGAACAGTAATTTCACTCATTTTCAAATGTGATTGATAAAAGTTATAATTTAATCAGTTTTAATATAATTTCTCGAATATAGCTTTTATTAAATTAAGATATGGAATCAAAACTTTAAGTTTTAAGTGAGACTTTAAGTGAATTGTGAAATCAATAGGCTTCCATACTTAATTTGATCTTAATTAGTATTCTTACAATCTGGCAAAGAACTTGCAGCTTTTCTCATCAATAGACATCAAATCTTGTTAGCTATTGATAACTCATGTTCGATTTATTCTGAGGTATTTTTTCCTTTTCTTACATTCTAGCATAGGCCTCAATCTCTTTATCTCTAAAGTTATTCTTCTTTTTCTTTCTCTTTTAACCTGGTATATTGGATTCCTTTGGATTTATTTGGGTTTATATGACTCCTCCTCTTTGTTTGTTGACCACATGATTTTCCCCTGAATAGTCTTACTTTTACTTCACCTCTAAATTCATTGGCAGAGAATGGATCTTTGTATAGTAATCTACTTCCTTAGGCGGCATACCTGCAACAAAAGCACCACTATGAGCTTCTTAAGGTGTCTAGATAGTATTTGTTTATGCCTGAGGATTATTCAAAATGCGAATTTCAACTTTTCCAAATTGATTATTGCCCCTACCATCTGGGGTATAGTAAGGAGCATAAGTTTAATCAATCGAGGAAATATTTGAAAATGGGACTTAGGAAGACCTTTGTTATATTACTGGCGGTGCCTCTCTATTTCGATTAGTTGGCCCTCCACCAAATATCAAAAATGTGAATGCCGAGAATCCAATGAAACTGAGAAATAGCTGCAAAACAGTTTGCTCGGCTGTTACAGGATATGGATTTTGGTGTTTATTTCTTTCATTATAAGCTTTTCGCTGCTCTTATCTGTGGTTATAAAAATCTTTAAATCGTTCCTTTTCATAGTTGTTATACTTATCTCGATAAGACCCAGATCCATTAGAGTTAGAAGTACCAGTTCTTTCTTAGTATTAGCGTCTAGCATCTTCTTAATAAGTTTTCTTCCACTGTTCGTACATAGGATCCTTAAATGGATCCTGATCATAACTACCTCCTTAATCATTCTGTGATGATGATCTCTAACTCGATTTTTGATATCCACTTGTCCCAAAACCCCAAAACCCCACTTACTCAAATACAGTAAGATTTAGATTTAAAGTATTAAATTGATTATAGTACAATTTAGAAATGGGATTAGAGCTAATTATATAAAATGTATTACTCAGTGGAACTTATATTGTTCTTGGTTTCCTATTTATTTGTATATATGCTGAAGTCATTGATCGATTTCAAATAACAATCATTTTTATCTACATCTTTGGCTTTATATGTAAATCCTTCATATTATTTGACTCAATTATCTATAGTTAAGGTTGTTAACTGGTCATGCTAATAAATGCTTTAAGAAGATGACAATGATTACAATTTATACATTGTGAATCAGCTCGGATTCATAGTGAGTTCTCTATTCTTTTTGATTTTATAAATATTTTGCTTTCGATTGTAAGTATAAATGGATATTATAAGATACAGGATAGTCATTTATTATGTCAATGTGCTTCCTAGCTTAGAATTAAGGCAGAAGAAGAGATAAAAAATATCACACATCATGTATATTTACATTGTTTCTTATGTATCTCTAATCTTCTCGATTGCAGTATTGGGATTCAAATAAGATATATATTTCTATCAGAAATACCAATAATTTTTGAATCCTGATGGAAGTCAATAGATTTAGATCATACTTCCGTAATATTTAACATTTAAACTAAATAGGATACTTTAGTTTTTTAAACTAATTGCTGACCTTGTGATGGTTTTTTTATTTGTTGGGTTTTTCAGGCGAATAAGAAAACTTGGAATGATCAAGTAATAAAGAAGATCAAAAATCAAACTTAGAGTCAACACTATATTTGTAAATATGACAGTTTTAATATTTAGATTTTAGTTGGCATTTTCATTTCAGTTTTTTTCTATTTATTTAGACTAACAATTAGAGACATTTTAATACCTTTATCAGAAACTAAGATACTGTTTGAATATTTCAAAAGTTCTAACCAATTTATAAGCATGATGGAAATGCAAGGATATATGTTTGATATTTTTGATTTTGTAATTGCCATTTCCATTCTTTATTTGTTTTATCATTTTGCCTCTTTGGCAAAAAAGGAAATGATGCTGAAAAGAGAAGGGCATATTAGCAAAGGTACTCTATTTGAGGAGAGTTCATCAGCAATAGCTTAAACAGTCTCAAATGCTTCTCAAATTATAGAACAATCATAAGTACAACAGAAGTAATTTGAAAACACCTATAAGAACTATAGATTATCTAGTTCTTTTTCAAAATCTCAACTTAATCATAATTCTGAAAATGCTACAGTCCTCCTTAAAAACTAGAACAGGTCAACTTTGAATTTAGTGAATTACTAAAAAAATACAAGGAGATAGAATTCAAATGAACAAGAGGATTTGAATTCACCAGAAGACTCTCTGTTTGACAAGGATGGTAGTAATGAGTCTCGGTCTCTCAAATTTAGTATCATAAATGCTGCATCATAATTTCCTAGATTTGGAATGTAGATATAAAACATATCTCATAGAAATTAAGATAATCGAATATCAATAAATACAGAAGATCTAATGAGAGGTAATTTTGGAAGTAATAAATCAGGAAACAATTTGTAAAACGATCTTTCAAAATGATTCGAATGGAGGAGAAGTTCCTTACAAATTTATCAAATTTATATCAATTATTATTAGTTTTTAATTTAATAAATTTGTACATATTTTCTAAGCTACATAATTTGAAATATGGGGTTTTGGGGTTTTGGGG